CAAGAATGGTATCTAAATCCAAACCCCACTATCCTGACTAAACAGAACAAACAGCAGCCTTCCAGGTGTTCCTGTATCACAATTCCCATCTCTAGTCATGATGTCTAATGATGAGGAATAGAAGAGTTGTGGTCCAGCATCTGGAGGGCCTTTTGGTCATGTCAGGAGTGACTTGAGAAACTGCAAGTCGCTTCTGGTGTGAGAGAATTGGTCATCTGCAAGGACGTTGCCCAGGGGACGCCTGGATGATTTCTGATGTTTTTATCATCCTTGTGGGAGGCTTCTCTCATGTCCCCGCATGAGGAGCTGGAGCTGATAGAGGGAGCTCATCTGCCTCTCCTCGGATTCGAACCTGCGACCTGTTGGTCTTCAGTCCTGCCGGCACAGGGGTTTAACCCACTGCACCACCGGGGGCTCCATCTGGAGGACCTAATAAAATGGCATGGTGGGTTGAATTTGGGCCCTTGGCCCTTGAGTTTGAAACGTTGTACATACTGTAATACTGCGACAGTAAAGCCTAAGAAAAATTATACTAAAAATGCTGAAGATTCACTTTTTATGACCAGTTTCATACACATTTAAATAGAGGGAAAATGGAGGTGTATGTATACATACACACATATATAAACACACAGAGAGAGAGACATACATACTGAGAACAACATAACTACATACTATGTACTACTACAGGACTGCAACTAACTTAATTTTTAATAATGCCCACATATATTATGTTTTATTTTTAATGGGTGAATACCCCCTAATTATTCACTCTCTCCCCCCCCCCCCCGAATATCCAGAACTTAAACCTTACAAATAACCCTTTTTGTACTTACTGTTAATGGTCAGGAGCAGGCCCGTAGCCAGGATTTTGATGGGGGGGGGCTGAGTTTGATTGGGGGGGGGGGTCTGAGGATCTACCCTAGCAAACCTTTTGTATCGTTATCCCAATACCCCCATACATATGGGATATATTGTGCATGGTGATCAGATCATGATATGAATAAACATAACAGTTTCAATAATGTACCAGTAAAGCCTTCTCGTGGACCACCCTGAGAAATTGGGGGAGGGGGGCTGAAGCCCCAGATACATGCCTGGTCAGGAGAAACTCTTTGAATTCTCTGACAGTGATATACTGCCATAGCAATGTAGTGTTCATATTTATACACATCCGTACCTTATGATTAGGAAGCAGGTTAAAAGTATTGTTTTCTTAAACAATGAAGGGACTGGAAATTATAGTCTAAAATGTAGCTTCCGTTGACTTGTAGTACTGCAATTCCTATCCTAAATACTTAGGCAAAGACAACACCCCACGCTAAACAAATCTTGCCAAGAAATCCCTGTGATAAATTCACTTTAGGGTCACTATTAGTCAGAAATGACTTGAATGCACACAGGAAACAAAAAGCAAATATACAATTCTTGCTGTATTCCAGAATAGACTGGAAAAAAAATCAAATCCCATGAAAATAATATAATTAAAAATGTTTACAAATTAAGCCGTGTTGATTTGAACAGTGTAAATTGCATGAAATTTACACAAGGCAGAATGTGATTTATAAGTAAGGCTCATTGAAATGGCATGTAGATTTTGAGTGTGTAGAGAGAAACAGAAAATGAACAAAGGTAAAAGATGGACACTTCAAAGACTCTTTAACCTGTATTGAAAACATCCCTTCACATTGTGAAAGTTGCAAGGCTGCAGTTGTGTGCCGTTTTGGGAGTAAGTCCCATTAAGAGCAGTGAGCCAAGACACACAGTACTTCTGAGTAAATCTGGTGGAGTTTGGGCTCCCTGGGGACTAAGGTTTGTTCTTATTATTCCAAAGTCTTGAAATGTTTCTGGCAGCTAATTACTGTTTATTGCAGTCAACCTTGGTCCTCAAACAGTAACTTTTTCCATCTTAAAGTGGGTTGTCCCATTCCAGTGAAGAGCCTGTTGTCTGAGTGCTAAATGGAATTACTACCAATGGAAACTATGCTGCAAGAGGAGTTGATAAAGCAGCTGCCTGTGCAAACCTCAGCTGTTTTTTCCATCCTCCAGAGCAAACTTAATTAGCATAGGGAAACTGACTAATGTGCTGACGTCACCTCTTTCCAGTCGAAGCTTACATTTTGTCCCTGACTGGCCGAAAGCATGTTGCAGGACTTTGTTCAGGAATTTGCTGTCGCACACTGGACACACTGAAAACTTTTTTTTTTTTTTGGGTGGGGTGGCTGTGTTCTTGAGGGGGCTGGACTTGGTCCCTTTTTATAAGCTCTCTCTACAGGACAAAACTGCTTCTTCAAAAAAGTGTTGTCTTCATCGGATTCTCAACTCTTAAGAGTTTTTTTAAAAAGCGCATGATGCATTTTAGGAACTTTGATTACACTTTTGGCTCCTTAATTGCTTGTGTTGCCGACAACAAGATTTTCAACCAACCTGAAATTAGGGTAAGGTTTTGGACGTTTATTCTTTTTAAAAAAATTAAAATTGTATTTTAAATACTGGGAAGTGTTGGGGTATTCCAAGGCAGAATAGGTTAGATCTTAAAGAAGACTGCATCCTCTGAAATAATTCCAGAGGCAAAGATTGATGTGTTTTTGTGTTTGTGTTCTTTATCAATTATTAGACTTTTTATAAAAATGTAGGATCATCAATTAATTATGTTTCTCTTAACATGGTTTTGATACTTATGTATGAAACCAAAATATTTAGTTAAGCAACATAGAATCTAATGTGTACTATTTATAGCTAAGTAGAGCTACAGATTGAGGCATAGTGTCTTCTTAGCAGTTTTGTGTAGGGAATGTAAAACTACTAGGGCAGTTATCAAAGGCTTTCATGGCTGGAATCGTTGGGTTGCTGTGAGTTTTCCGCGCTGTATGGCCATGTTCCAGAAGCATACTAGGGCAGTTATTTGCATGTCTACTCTGAAGTAAGCTCCATTGAGTTCAATAGGAGTTATTCCCATGTGTGTGCAAAGTCCCCAAGCAGTTTCAAAGCAATGGTAACCTTCCTAATTCTGTTGAGGCTACCTCAGTATCTAGCTGCATAACAATAATAATCTCCTTCACTTAAAGTAGGAAGTGCAGTTGACCCTCCATGTCCACAGATTCCATTATTCATGGCTTGAAAGTATTTTCTCCCCCCCCCCCCAATAAAAAAAAAACAAAGCACTATTTAGCTATTTTGTACCAGGAACACAATTTAACTATTGCATTGTATATAATAGAACTGAGCATCCATGGATTTTGGAATCCATCGGGGTCYTTGAACCAAACCACAGCAAATACTGACAGCCCACTCTATTCAAAATATTCAAGATGCCTGGTTTGTTTGTTTTTGATTTTTTTTCTTAGTGACTTTAGCTTTCTCATTGGTGAGAAAGTATGCAGTGGGAGGAAGCTAACAAGGGGAGGGAACTAAGGTTGCAGCTTTGAATAGCAATTATTCCTTGCATGTATTTTTGTGTCCCTTTGACTAAGGCCCCTTCCACACTGCCCCTATATCCCAGAATCTGATCCCAGATTATCTGATTTAAACTGGATTATATGAGTCTCCACTGCCAGATAATCTGGTGTAAGAACATAGGGGCACTGTGGAAGGGGCCTTATAAAGTATTAGGATACATGGCAGGAACTGTCCTTATTGTAACTTGTTCAGAAATCCCTATATCTGATATATTTAAAACTACATCGCTTTTTAAAAGTGTATCAAAAGTACTGGGCAAATGTAGATTTCTATGAATTCTATACTTATCCAAATAATATTGCTACAGTTTTGTCAGTTTTGAATTCAGTATTTAAATGATATAGATTACATATTGAACAAATAGTTTATATTGATCTGCATACACATTAATCAGTGTACTTAGTTAAATGTTGTAAAAAATACAAAATAGGAAAAGGTCATCTTAATGGATTAAGAGCACTTCTTCATTCATAAATTTCTACTGCTAGTCTCCCCCTTGTGAATTTAAAAACGCATCTCCTTATATCAATAATGTAAATATATCTTTTGAGTTGGATAGTTGCCTAGGTGTTCCAGTAGCACTTACATGAAACATTAGGTCTTTATTATGAAGTTGTCAACCATTGGTAGACTTCCTATGCCTGAATCATACTCTTTTGCAGTAATGCCCTTTTGTTTTTTTATTTGAAGGCAGAAAGTGACATTTTACTACTTTTTAATGCAAGGTCCCTGTATTGGCATTGAAACAAACATGTTTAACATCTTGGCCTTGTACATGTCTTCTTGGAAATGTGTTCTGCTCAACAGCATTTATATGTTGTTCATACTTACTAAATAGTATAACCAGTTTATTTTCTGAGGCAGGATATTTGCCCTTAATAACTGGATGACAGAACTGTGCTGGTACAGATTTTTTTTTGAGAAAGAATGTGTTAACATTTTGAGCATTTTTCTATGATACCATTGTTAAGACAAAGCTTGTGTCAGGGAGAAAAATCTGTTAGTACATATAAATTAGTACTCCGAGCATTAGTTTTTCAATTAGCTTCCCAACAAATGTTTTAATACATTTTTTTTACTTTAATTGCAGGTTGTTCCATAAATTATTCCTGTTTGTTAAAGTTATAGCACCTCCTAAATACACTACCTGACTAATTTGGTAGCCCCTTAAGATGAAGTGCTATCTTCTGGTGTTTATTGGCCTGTTAAAATGTTTTTAAAGCACTAAAGAATGGGAGGAGAACTAGCAAAATTGAATTGCACTTGTGCACAGTAAAGTTGTGGCTAGAAGGGAAACGTGAAAGATTTTTTCCAGAATCGAATAGTTCAAAATACGTATTTCTATTTTGGCCTTGCTTTTGTTAATACAGATTTGTTTTTTGTTTTGTTTTTGTTTCTTTGAGAGGGTTTTGTGTTACAAGGAGAGAGATAAAACCCATACAAATATTTGTTCATTGCTATACTTTGGACTCTATAGGCCTGTGAAATCATGGATGTTTCTAATTTATTGCACTGCTTGGTTTTTTTTTTTTATCTTTCAGGCAAGGTTTGAAGCGCTCTTTAGAACACATGACAAAGATGTCACCTTTCAGTATTTTAAGAGTTTCAAAAGAATACGGATAAACTTCAGCAACCCTTTGTCAGCAGCAGATGTTAAAATTCGGTTACACAAGACAGAATTTCTTGGAAAAGAGCTAAAACTATTTTTTGCTCAGGTGAGACAGAAAACCTTATTTTATAGTGCTTTAATTGCTTTATTGTCTATTTTGTGCCCCACCCTTCCTTGTGTGAACCCAGTGCAACACCTTATAAAAACAGGTTAAGTAATGGCACTTTGCCACATGAGCTGAGTAGCAACTTGAGCCTGGATTTCCAGTGTCCAAACCCATAATTACAACACAAGTCTTTCACAGATTTCCTATGCAGTCATATGAAGGGAAGAATTGTGAGACCTCCCACTTCAGGTGACTGTTTAAGGAGCCACAAGGAACCACCTCAGAAGTTTTTTATGGTCTAAATTCCTACAAAAATTAAGTATAAAACCTCTGGAGATATGCATCATGAATAGCATAAATGGAATTTCCTATTCATCACTTCTGCACTAAGTTGTGTGGCTATTTGGCACTGCTTAGTATTTTACAGAATGCATTCTTTGGATGCATTCTTTGGAAGAAGAATCTGAAAGAAGAAGTGAGATGTAAAAATAGTCAGGTCTGTCTGGGAACTACGTCAAAGTTGTATCTATCAATTGAGAACTAATGTCATTGTAATATAGGCAATATAGCAGAACATAGTTCACTGTTTTGACCATGGGTAGCTGGCAAGGGCAGGTACACTGTACATAGGGGAAATGTAAGCAGACATAGTAGTTTCCATCAAAAAATTTTATGAAAATCTCAGTGTAACCCCTGTGTGAGAATTGTATTGAAAATCATGGTTTCAGTGTGATCTGCAGTATGTTGTTGATTTTGCCAGTCTTGTGACAGTTAAACTTCCCTTGATGTAAATAACCAGTTCTTCTCCTTCCACTGTTAAAACGAAAGGGGCACACATAAAGCATTTATTTTCTTTATGTATTTATAGTAAATAAAGAGTTCCCTGTAGCTTGTACTCTGGAAAGCTCAAAGTATTTGAGCTGAAAATCCTGTCTCCAAAATGTTTAAGACCACAAGGATTTTTTGGATTTTTAAAAATAATTTTGTGTATGAAAACCAATTTTGTGCATTAAACTATCAGATAGAAAAGGTGTCACCATCTCAGCCACCTATGTGAACAGTTTTGGATTATGGATAATATTTGATTTCAGAATTCTAGATAAAAGATGTGCAGCCTGTAATAAAATACAGAAACAAAGTATATATCAGTATTTTTAAAAGATATGCCCACAAAGAGAAAATCAATTTAACATCACAGTGAATTTTACATCAAACTTCAATATACTAAATATGAGAATCACATTCATCTGCAGCACATTCATCTGCAGCCAACGTGGAAATCCAGCAGGTTGGCAAAGGAGCTCAAGGAGAAGTGTTTTTTCTCCACCAGCCTGTTTGCTTGCCTGGGTGGAATTCCTTGCATATGTAAACTTTGTCTATGACAACCAAGCAAGTAGTTCAAAAGAGGGCTAGATTTAAGGAACATGTCTTGTTGTATAACTGTAGGGGACAGACACATATATTTGTTATAGAAAATCTCAGATTCTATAGTGTGATAGGGCAACCCAATTGCATTCAAAGCACCCCTGACAGAGGGCTATCCAGCCTCTGATTAAAAGCTTCCAAAGAAGGAGCTTCCACCACACTCTGGGGCAGAGAGTTCCACTGATAGAAGGAATCTTACAGAACAGTTGTTCCCAACTTTTTTTTTCACTAGTGACCACTTTGACCAGGGACCACTTTTCAACATTAGTACCAAAAGAGTTGCGAGTGTTTTTGGTCAACATTAGATTTGGTTTGGTTATTTGGAGTGGCAGTTCAGAAAATTGCATTGGATAGACCACATTGTCTCTAGTTTCTGATACAGAACATATGCCATCCAGTAGTTGCCATCTTCTCGCACACAGAAAACCATACTTAATAAGAGGGTTTCACAAGACCAGTCACTCTTCTAGTAACTGTGAGGTGGACCATATTTTAGTTCTTGCAGACCACTGGTGGTCCATGGACCACAGGTTGGGAACTACTGTTATAAAATGAAGATTTCTATGTGAGCCTACAGAATTAGAGAGAATTCCTTTATGTATTAGACCCATAAAACACATCTCCAAGATGGATTTATTGAATCACGTGGGCACTTCCAGCTTCATGAAAAGGTCCTACTGCGGACCTTAGTTGATTGCATCAGCTTTCCCTTTACATGTTAAAATGCATGCACATTTGATCACCAAATGTATTTGATCACCAAATGTATCTTTTTAATGGAAGCTTGTGAAAGAAAAATATCCTTGGGTACTTTTTTCCCAAGTGGTCTGTAGAAGGCTAAAAAAATGTGGTTTGTTATTGTACTTATTAATTTATTATCAGATTTGATATATCATCATAATAACATGCAAGAGATGGCTATGTTGGGAACTTTGTGTGTACCCTACATAATTCCTCTGCTGAAATTGGGATTTCCATTCTAAGCAGTCCTGGAAAATAAATTTCACATTGTTCTGTGGATTCATCCGAACATTGAAATATCAGGGGAACAGAAAGAGGAGAAAGGATCTTTGGCACAGCCTGCCTTCTGCAGTGTTGGATTTTGTCCATTTTGTCTAAATGGTGGAGAGAAGCAAGGAATTCTTAACATTTTGTTGGTGTTGTCATTTGTCCTCTCTTGAATACTGTTCTATGCTGCCCCCATGAGTGTTAGTTCAGTACTACATTTGTGCTCCTTCAAATTCCATGTACTATACACAGATGTAAAAATCAATGCAATAATGATGTTTTTTAAATCCCTCCAGTCTTTGCATATTGGAAGACCACACTTAGCACCACCAGATCCAGAAAAGCAATTCCTGATTTCCCCTCCATCGTCTCCTCCCATTGGCTGGACACAATCAGATGACGCCACACCTGCCATTAATTATGACCTTTTATATGCCATCTCCAAGCTAGGACCAGGTAAGGGGGTTTTGTGCCTTTGCTCTTCACAATTCAAGTTCCTTTATTCCTTTATCCTATTTGTTGTCGATCCACTCCTTTGGGCTTCACGCAAATCTCCCATTTGTCAAAATATATGATCCTGTGTTATTCTTTCCATTTCTGGCCAAATAGCTTAAATTTGGATAATATTTTGACTTTGGTATTTTAGCAATTAAATTTTGCAGCAGTGCCGTTTGGGTTGCTAGCCTTTGTGACCCTATAGCTGCTTGTCCTTTCATCAGTTCCGGGGCTCAAGCCCAAGCTACTGATGGACAAGATATGATGGAGCTGTGTCTTCCCCCTCTTCACTCTTTGGCCACAGAGTGGCAGTTAGAGTTAGGGGGAGAGGTCCCCACCTGATGTTGGGTGAGACACAATGGACACGTCTCATCCTGGCTGAAGAGGGGACAGCCTGAATTCAAGTTCACTTGGTTTTAAAAATTCATTTGCTTTTTGTTTGCCTGAATATGCCATGTATATTTACAAACCCATGGCCTAAATTAAAAACTTTTTCCCACTACAAATGTTACCTACCTTGATGATACTAGCATGTTTATATTATTATGAATATTGATTTATGAATGGTTACACATTTTACATTTTTAGTGTAGGGAACACTCTGTTCTGTATTTTATTTACATTTGGTCTCTGCCGTTTTTCGCTTTACACTCATGTATGTATACATACATGCTTTTGGATAACTGGTCATGCATTAATGAAGTAGACTTCACTCACAAAAGCTTATGTCATAATACATATTTTGTTTCCAAATATTTGTTTTTATGCACAGAAATACACATAAAGCCAGATCAAACAAAAAAAAAAAAACCAAAATAGACCACAACTGCATGAGAGTACAGATGCAATTTACACTAGATGCAATTTAATATACAACTATAATTAAAATATTTACAAATTATGTAGAGTTTGTAATAAAATAGTACCGTATATTCCGGCATATAAGACGACTGGGCGTATAAGACGACCCCCAACTTTTCCAGTTAAAATATAGAGTTTGGGATATACTCGCCGTATAAGACCACCCCTCTTCCAATGCACACCAAATAATTTTTTTAAAAAATCAGATTTGAATTCAATATGGTAATTTGAATTCAAATGCTTCTGACATGCAGGTTCCTATGAGAGGGACATTGTACCTTTCATTGGACATTATAGTTGCTCTTCCTCCCTTGAATTTCATTTACACTCTGGGTCCTTTACATCATGCTGGCAAGTATGAAAGCAGGCTTTAAATGGTTCAGATTACATTTATATTGGCATAGAAGGTTGCATGCAAATAGAAGTCAGGCTTTGTACGATGAGTACTGAGGTGAAGGCAAAGCATTTGAAGAATTTTTATCTATAAGCAGTCTTTATAAATCAGGACCTCCTATCAGAAGAGAGGGGCAGATTGGACCCTCATCCTCCAGAAATGTAGCATTTGGCATTGCACGTTTACTGGGTCACATCTTGACATGTCTTCATCCTTAAATCACCGTGACAGCTTGAATTGTTTTAGACTTTCTCAAGGATACAGCCAGGTGATGTTTAATTGTTAGAAGGGGAAAAGAGATCAGAAAAGAGGAAGGAGGGCCCTGGGTCAAGAAGAGCGTTCCAGTTTGACTTCTGTCAAAAATGAAATGCAAAGATACAGGATGGGGGACATGTGGCTTGAGAGTGGTATGTGTGAAAAAGATCTTGGGGTCCTTGTGGACAACAAGTTAAACATGAGTCAACAATGTCATGCGGTGGCAAAAAAACCAAAAAAACAAAAAACCAATAGGATTTTGGCCTGCATCAATAGGAGCATAGTGTCTAGATCCAGGGAAGTCATGCTCCCCATGCTCTATTCTGCCTTGGTTATACCAAACCTGGAATTACATTGTGTCCAATTCTGGGCACCACAACTGAAGGGAGATGTTGACAAGCTGGAATGTGTCCAGAGGAAGAGGGTGACTAAAATGATCAAGGGTCTGGAGAACAAGCCCTATGAGGAGTGGCTTAAAGAGCTGGGTATGTTTAGTCTGAAGAAGAGAAGGCTGAGAGGAGACATGATGAGAGCCATGTATAAATATGTGAGAGGAAGTCATAGGGAGAGAGAGCAGATCAAGGGTCTGGAGAACAAGCCCTATGAGGAGTGGCTTAAAGAGCTGGGTATGTTTAGTCTGAAGAAGAGAAGGCTGAGAGGAGACATGATGAGACCCTGTGTAAATATGTGAGAGGAAGTCACAGGGAGGAGAGAGCAGATCAAGGGTCTGGAGAACAAGCCCTATGAGGAGTGGCTTAAAGAGCTGGGTATGTTTAGTCTGAAGAAGAGAAGGCTGAGAGGAGACATGATGAGAGCCATGTATAAATATGTGAGAGGAAGTCATAGGGAGGAGAGAGCAGATCAAGGGTCTGGAGAACAAGCCCTATGAGGAGTGGCTTAAAGAGCTGGGTATGTTTAGTCTGAAGAAGAGAAGGCTGAGAGGAGACATGATGAGACCCTGTGTAAATATGTGAGAGGAAGTCACAGGGAGGAGAGAGCAGATCAAGGGTCTGGAGAACAAGCCCTATGAGGAGTGGCTTAAAGAGCTGGGTATGTTGACATAGGGAGGAGAGAGCAGATCAAGGGTCTGGAGAACAAGCCCTATGAGGAGTGGCTGAAAGAGCTGGGTATGTTTAGCTTGAAGAAGAGAAGGCTGAGAGGAGACATGATGAGACCCTTTGTAAATATGTGAGAGGAAGTCACAGGGAGGAGAGAGCAGATCAAGGGTCTGGAGAACAAGCCCTATGAGGAGCGGCTTAAAGAGCTGGGTATGTTTAGTCTGAAGAAGAGAAGGCTGAGAGGAGACATGATGAGACCCTGTGTAAATATGTGAGAGGAAGTCACAGGGAGGAGAGAGCAGATCAAGGGTCTGGAGAACAAGCCCTATGAGGAGTGGCTTAAAGAGCTGGGTATGTTTAGCTTGAAGAAGAGAAGGCTGAGAGGAGACATGATGAGACCCTGTATAAATATGTGAGAGGAAGTCATAGGGAGGGAGCAGGGAGGGAGGGGGCGAAGAGGAGGAGCAGCAGCCTTTGCTACCAATCTGGCAGCATGGTAGCCTACTGGGCTGTCTTCACCCTCGCAGGCATTGAGTTGGGTCCGCCTCCAGCCTCCATCTCAGAACAGCTGCTGCAGGACGGAGCCAAAGCCAGAGGGGCGGGGCCTCTGGCTGCTCCGCCCCGCCCCCGCAGAGGGCCCCACCCCCCGGTTCCGCCCCCCGCCCCCCTGCGGAGGCTTCAGCTCCTGCTGCTTTTCCAGGCCGGCGGGGGTGTTTGCATGCTGTGCTGTCCCCTCCGCCACTGGTCTGCTGCTAGCTCCGCCTCTGGCCTCAAAGCCAGAGCAACTGCTGAGGGAATCAAACCCAGAGCAGGGAGGCAGTGGGAGAAGAGGACCCCGCCCCTCGCGGCCCCGCCCACGCTCCGGTTTTGGTTCCCTCGGCAATTGCTCTGAACTTTGAGGCCAGAGGCAGAGCTAGCAGCAGACCAGTGGCGGAGGGGACAGCACAGCATAGCATGCAAACACCCCCGCCGGCCTGGTAAAGCAGCAGGAGCTGAAGCCGGAGCGGGGGGGGGGGACCCTCCGTGGGGGTGGGGCCGGAGTAGCCAGAGGCCCCGCCCCCACCCCTCTGGCTTTGGCTCCTGCAGCACCTTTTCTGGGATTAGAGGGCGGAGGCGGAGCCAACTCAATGCCGGCGAGGATGAAGACAGCCCAGTAGGCTACCATGCTGCCAGCTTGGTAGCGAAGCCTGCCGCTGCTCCTCCTCCCTCCCCCCTCCGCCCTCCCTCCTCCTCAGGCTCCACCACGCGGGGATGCCAAGGGCGAGGGAGACGAGGGAAAAATGATCCAAAAAAAATTATGCCGGGGTACAAGACGACTCCCCACTTTTGAGATGATTTTCCAGGCTTAGAAAGTCGTCTTGTACCCCAGAATATACGGTAGGTTGAGTATCCCTTTACCTGGAATTCCAAAACTGTCTACATGGATGGCTGAGATATCATCAACGCCTTTGGTTCTGAAAATTCAGTGTACTCAAACTTATGCACAAAACTATTTAAAATATTATGCATAAAATTACCTTTGGGCTGTGTGCACAAGGTGCATATATGAAGTATATATATGAATTGAATGCATAGATTTGGGTCCGATATCCAAAATTGAACCAAAGTCATTATGTATATGGAAGTATTCTAAGAAATGCAGCTGTTCAGGATGTCTGCTAGCCAGTCAGCAATCTCCCACTAAATGAGATTCCATTGTGTTTCTCAGGCCAGGTTTTAGCAGTCAATGGGCCTGTGACTCCTTGGATTTATTGTTTTTGCTCCTTTACAGTTTTTGTTAGCCTAATATTTGTTATACTTCCTGAAACCTTAGTATTATCCTGTAGCTCCACCTGTGGTGGGGGTTGAGTGTGCTGTTCTGGCTACAGAAGAATCTGTTCTAATACTTGAACATTGCTAATAAAATGATTGTTAGTGACCATCAAACTCATCAGAAGCTTCCATGTTTTGCCAATAATATAATGTTTGATTCCCCCATTATATTTGCTTTTTAACTTGCATATGCAGAAGGAACAAAGCTTGGTTCTCCAGAAAAAGAGTCGTTGCTGTTGATTTATAACTTCACCACTAGAAATTGTGGGGTGGAGATCTGATTTCCAAAGAACAAAGAAATTTCACATTACTCCCAAGTAACTACATTCAGTTACTTTGAAGAAATGGGACGTGGAACTGAGGGAGGGACATTAATTCATTTCATTCCTCCCTGCTCACTGTTTTTTTCCTCTACTAGCTGTTGCTGTTTGTGTTATTATTGCCTTGTGATACTTACTATTTAAAAAATATTTTAGGTGACCAGTATGAACTTCATGCTGCAACTGAAACTACCCCCAGTGTTGTGGTCCATGTGTGTGAAAGTGATGATGAAATTGAGGAGGAAGAAGAGAACGACTCATCCAAGAAACCAAAACCAAAAATTATTCAAACTAGGAGGCCAGATTATACTCCTCCTCACCAAAGTTGAAGTACATCAGACTTTGCTCGCTGTAAACTAGCATGTTCCAAGGAAACATTGTGAAAGTGACAGGTCACAAATACAATGACATTTGTGGTGGAAGCAGAAATTCTAATGTAAAGATAATTTCAGAAAAGAAATGTCTTCATTTATGTGCGTGTGTTAATGCTGCACACGGGTTCATAAGACTGATCCCTGCATGAACTTCTTGAATGGTTATCTTGGAGAATAGCCAGTCATGGTGGCATAGAGGTGAAATTATATTCTGCTTGTGTTTAGGGACATTTTCAGATTTTCTGAATTTCTGTTACGAAGGAAGACTTCCCTGCTTTTGTCTTTGTCCTATGATAAATTTACATTTCATAGGGGGAGGGGGTAGACAGTGTGGCCACCGCCCTAAAATACACTCACTGCTGGTTACATACCATTGGAAGCAATGAGCAAACATGTAAAGTGTGTTTGGGGTTGTGGCTTGTATATGGCATATAGTAGCTTTAAAAATGAAGTGAGAATTTGTTAGTCATTTTTCATTCTAGATTTTGAGTCTGCATGTAGAACTTGAGAATTTCTTTAACTTTAGATGTACTCATATTATATTGAGAAAAATCTCATTGATTTCTCAGCTGTCTTTCTGAATTACGTTTGTATCGGCATTCTTTTTTTTTTTTATGGGAACATATTTTAGTAAACACTACATTTTGTGCAATAGCCCTTTTTAACGTAAACTGCCAATATGGTTTATCAAGGAAACCTATAAAATACTTGTGCACATTTTAAAAGGCTGGGTGATTTTAAATTATTCTAAATTAAAGTATTTATATTGGTTCCAACCATCTTAACTGCTTTATTGATCAGAAGTATAGGAAATCTGCAATGAAATACTACCATATGTCACAACGTGAGAGAATATAAGCTATATTTCCTAACCCAAATGTATCTGTGAATATGGTAATTGTTGGTAGTGGTGCTTAGACCAACTTGTATGTAAACTAATGTGAAGCATGTTTGCAGAGAATGGAGTGCCTTTTTTCTCATGAACATGGAGTAGGGGAGAGGAATTGTTGCACTAACTGAAGACTATTTAATTTTTTAAAAAAGTGACAGTAAATATTTTATGGAATTGCCTTCCGAAGCATTATCAACCAAGGTAGAATTCCTTGTGTTTGATGCAAAGCCACAATTTACTTGTTTCAGTGCTTTGCTATAAGAGCTGCATTTTGTTTGCTGCTGAACAGTAACTGGTTCCAACTATTTATCCCATACTTAAAAACAAAACAAAACAGTCTGGTAATGTTCCACATACCATATTCATAGGAATTTTATTTTAGAAGATATTCTTGATTAAACTTGTTTCTTTTTTTAAATAAACTTATTTCACAAACTTGTGGTAAATAAACTAAGGTGTTTTCTTTCCTTTCTTTTAATGATCAAGGATTTTGGAATAAACCTGGACATCTCCTTACAAATATCAGTAGTGGTTTTGTTTTAGGAGAACCTATTCTTTTAATTAGAAAGAGAGACGTTTAAGGAGAGGTTTTCCTCATTTAAGGAGAAGTTTACTGTCCTCCTTGGAACAGATTTAGCCAGTGCAGCTATATAAAGTCGGTAGTACAGAATGTTCTCTGTGATTTTCCACATGTTTCTGTGTTCTCTTTAAAAACATGCTTGCAGGATATCATTCTCTGAATTCTGTTTATATTTTCTCTTATATTATGTAAGCAACAACACTGTTTTCATTGTTATAAAAATCCACAAACTATTTAAACTAGAGAGTATTTGCAACATCTCACACTTGCAAATTAAATGTCACTGAGGTCACTGAGAATTAATGCACTAATAACAATGCTTAGTTGCAATCCTGCAAACTAGGCTACTTCAGTCTGACATTCTGTTGATGTCAAGGCTTTAAGCTGCCTAACTCTGCATAGAATTGCAACCATAGTCCCACTGAACTCAAATGGGGCTAAATCAGCTAAAATTTATTTCTGTTAGACAGCTTTACAGATTTTGCCCACACTCACAATTTACCACTCAGTCATTTTGTATTAAGTACAGAATACAAGCAAGCATAACCCAGTACTTCTAAAATGAGAAAAAATACTGTTTAATATCCTTTTAAAGGGCTGCATTATTAACAGATAACAAGATGACATTCTGAATATTGGCAACCACACAAGTTGTTTAGCCAAGGATCCACTATGTCACATAGGGCTTACTGTTCAAGAAGACAAGGTTGTGTAGTCTGCTATATGTTTGCTCATTCTCAATAGCCCCATTCTACATGGAGTGAAGTGAGCTCACAGTTGAGCTGATTTGGGGTAATCCTCCACTGCACATAACACTTTCTGATAAAGATGCAAGTGTTAAAGAAATCAGGTAGGGAGACATTTTCTGGCTTTAGTGTATAGAAGGAGAGCTATTAACTAGGATTCTATAAATATCCATTACTTACTTTAAAAGCATGTTCAACTGCATGCCAATAGGAGTCCGTTCCTCATTGTCTTTCGGGGGGAAACCATCTAAGCTGCTGCATGAGTTACATGGATACACAAAGGCATAGTTTCTTAAATGCAATAAGCTCCCCATACTTGTGAGGAATAATATATTCTTTGCTTGAAATTGGAGATACGACCAAACACTATTAAATTATCTCACTTTTGATCCCAGCATGTCACAGAGTTACATTCAAGGACTTGGAGCAGTGGTTCTCAACCTGTTGGTCTCCAGATGTTTGGGCCTTCAACTCCCAGAAATCCTAACAGCTGGTAAACTAGCTGGGATTTCTGGGAGTTATAGGCCAAAACACCTGGGGACCCACAGGTTGAGAACCGCAGACTTCCTAGAGAATCTGCTATGGTTTCCAGCAAAACACTATGGTAACTTCTGAGGTGAAGCATAACATAGAATCACCTAGAAAATTCCTCAACACCTATTTTTCCCCAGGCATAGATAAATGAAACCACAGGTATGAGAAGTGCAGATATTGGGGTCTTACAGTAGGTTGAAATGTTGTGCAAGTCACACAAATTTGTAAAATATAATACATTTGGCCTGAGTAAACCTAAGAAGTCCAGTTTGCACCAAAGGTTCAAACAATTATGTTTTCCATTCTGAATGCCTTAAAATTGCATGTTAAACCGATTGCATAGTTTGTATCCAAATTAATAAAGGCAAAAGAGATAAAATTGGTCATGACTTTCGGAATATATTAGATTTTCCAGCACCAGAAGTAACGTCAACTTCTGGTCATCTAAATTTTGAAATAATTACCTGTACTTAATGGATTCACAAGGAACTTGTGTTTTCCTGTTATGTTTGTCAGATTTCCTATAAGCGGTTTTTAAAAGATATGAGACCTCAGTATACAGTTTCTTCCGTTAAGAATGACAGAGTAGTGCTATCATCTGATAGCTTGTATAATCAAATAATATGTTTGGTTTTTCTGATGAAGTAACTGTGTTAATCTCTTGCAGAATAAAAAGGTAGAAAGGAGGGGAGAAAAAATGTGGCAGCACCTTTTAGACTTTTTAAAAAATTTAGCCTGAGCTTTCATGACTATAAATCCACTTCTTGAGATGCTGTACAGAGGTGTACTATATCTGAAGAAGTGGGTTGATATCCACTTACCACTTCATCACATTCATTATAAATACTACTGAACCACCTACTTAAGAAATGGCAACCTACTGTGTTCATCTCATGAGTGTAGGGTAGAGGTATCTTGGTGTTAAAAGGGGGGTGCAAGGGGTTATCTTTTTGGATGCTTTCTAAGCTGGTTGACAAATTATTTTTTGCAAATTATCCGGATAGAGATGGTCTAAATGGCCAATTCTGTTATGTGATGGTATTCATCATTCTCAACTTTAAAATGATACATTTAGACAATTTGTGGGAGGAGCCAAAGAGCCCCTTTAATAAAAAGCTCCCACCATTACCTGCAAGTGTTAATTACTTTTTAATTGTGTAGTCCTTACCTTAAAAGTAGTAGTTGTGCTCCACAAACTATGTTAAATTGGTGGATACTCTACAAGATATTCAGTCATTGAGAAACTAGAGCAAAATGTGCTCTATGTAGCAGGATGTCCCTCCTGCAGAGACAAAGTTTTTGTAGTTTAATAAACCTTCCCTGTGTGTTTATGATAGAACCAATTAGAAAATGACATTTATAACTGAGGAACAAAACCCATAGTCCAGGAGAAGGGGGTGTTTCTTTTCACAAAGAAAATGGGAGGGGGACAGTGGGCGGTAACAACTCTCTACAATGTGATGGCAAATCAACTGAAAACTCCTGAATAAAACAGATAGTTTGCTAGTGTGTGATGGAGGTAAGAAAATCATCAATTTAATTTCAAAACAGAGTATGCCTGAGTTGTATGGTAAACCTACTCTTTCAAACACTTGATCTGTTCAGTCGGATGAAGTCTTTAGTCTTTATGGTATTGCCATATGTTTTTCCTTCCCATCTTTTCTTATTACGCTGCAACAGCTATTGAAAAGAATTACCAGAAGTACTTGTTTTGTCCTGCAGAGGGAACTCAAAACGCAACCATCCAGCTCCCAAAATACTGCATTACTCCTTGAATATTTTAGAAAGTTTCCCTGTGCAACATTTTGTCCTTTGAAAACTATATGTGAAGTTTCATTGTATTTATCTCTACAAGGTTCCAGGCCATCTAATTGTCTTTGGCTGTATAACGAAACTGCATTGCAATACCCAGTTATGTTAATACCCATAAAAGAACCACAGCCATTAGACAAGAGTTCTTCTTCAGAACTGTATTCTGGCAGCAACCCAATCCCTTTCCTTAGTGTGTATCTGTGGGTGTATTAGAGAAGCATCTGTTCTTAAAAAGAAACAACCAATTAATAGTCCTCTATAGTACAGCCTTATAGCGTACGGGTCTTGAATTTTCCTTATTTTATTTTCATGCTTATTTACCTTTGTCAGCAAAAGATAATTAGAGACTAGTCTATCTTTTATTGTCTTCCTATATCTGTACTCTGTTCCCAGCCTGGATAAATAAATTCATTCATTCTTGCTGACTCTCAGAGGATAGGTAGTGGTAGGGTAGGGATTATTGTTAAAATAAATCCCTTATTTGTGGGGCAATCATTCCATGTTATAGCATTTCCTATTCAAATTGAATGGTAGGTGGAGCAGTCATTGTGATGAAACCCAAAGACTGTGGAAGTTTCTTATCAAAATCCTTGCCAGAGTAAAGCTGCATCCTCACTACAACTCCCTGTCTAGGGATTTACATAACTTATAAATTCTCTCCTACTGGTTATAGTAGGAGAAGGAACTAGGCATGACAGTTGCAAAGGTAGCGTACCTTTTCCCGATTCTATCACCACAATATGGAAAGACCCAAGAATCCTGCAAATCCAAACCAGCTTTCCACCAGCTAGTACCAGAAAAGTGATACATTTCTACAATGGCTGAAAAAGGTATTGCAACAGACCTTTTTTTCCCTATTTGCTTAGGGAAGGTCTGAAACTCCTATGGTTCCTGGGACACCTTCCCAAGGACTATAGCAGCCTAAAATGATGAAGTTATAGTGGCCAGAGGTGTCTATTACTGTGAGTTATTGAACTTTGGCCCAGCCTTTTATGTCATGACAGGGTGTGAATATTAAGATGTATTGGAGTAAAGGCAGGAAAGGGATTTATTACTGGTTAAATGTTTTGCCTACTAATTGCTGTTCTAAGGTCTGGTAATCAAGTGAGCAAAGTGAATCTCATTGACTTAACTACAAGACCCAGAAAAATGATTACCATATGTGCCTTTTAAAACTAATAACGTTGGCATTTCTATTGATATGCTTCTTTAAAGCATTTGAGGAACCTTTTACCCTCCATATTTTTTGGAAGAAAACTCTCATAGACACTTATCATTGGTTGAAATTTTCCAGTTCTGACATTAAAAAAAAACTGATTGCATTATCTTGTGCAAAAATCAAAGGATGATGTTTTCTTTAAATTTTGTGTGGTCCTCGGGTTTCACTGAAATATCCATTACCACATTTCCCCTTCCTATTCCTAATTACTTGAAGTACATTAAAATCCAGGGCACAACTGTGAAATGTTAAAGTATGAATACAAATCCCTATTTTCTTGTATGTGTGTGTGGCATGTAGTGCTCCTTATTCATCAAGCAGTTGTAAACTTGATTTCTGTTTAGCAGTGGGAACCTTTGTTGTAATTTAGGATAAGGTTTTAGCATGTTTGCATAGAGTTTACAATAAGAAGTTAGTATTTCTGCATGCAATAGCACTGGTGTTTCTAGCTCTTGAGTCTGTCTTGCCTTTTAAAAACAATCCCTTAATGCTGCATCTAGAAAATGACTTTTGAATGTATGCATGATATAAAATCCTAGGTTTA